AATGTACAAATGTACAAAACTACATAGAGGTGTATTTTGGCTGTCATACTTTGCTTTATGGTTGAAATCCACTTTATTTTCTAGACAATATCCTTGAATAATCTCCATTCGTAAACTACTGAGATTCATGATACAACATCTTCAGTTTGTTACTAAGATTCTTCTGCGTATTACTTGACAAGGTCTTCCAAGGTACTGTCTTAAGAAATAGAAGTCGTTTCATTTCTGTGGCACAATCTCTTATTTGTTTTTATCATATTTTGCAGGTAAGCTAAATGTGAGGGTTGATAAAGAAAATAAATGGCTAATAATGAAAATCCACTCTTAAACGTGTCCCTCAAATCTAGTTATTGCTAATCCTAGCTACATTTCTCTCAGTTTATCTTCAGAATGGTCAGAGTGGCAGAAAGGAAATGTGCACTGAAGGAGAGCGACCTGAAATTCAAGGGCTTGTACACAGGATTTTGTGTAATGGTGAGTAAGAGGAGACCAGGGATAAAGTTAAACTCTGTGAATATTGTTCATGAGATCAGTGTCAAAAATAGGAATATAGTTTGTGCTGTTGAACTATAGGTTGTCAAACAACTTGCAGTCCATCAAGCTTAATTTTAGGAGGTTTTTAGGCTTCATAATTGAGTGAATGAGCTGCAGCAAAATGTTGTGAAGCACATAGTGGGGACTGTGGATTTATGATCATTTCAAATCCTTGCTTGACTGCTGTATCTGTGATAACCATCTGTAACTGTAACTATCTGTGGTAAGTCTTTTTCAGCACTGCAGAACCTTATGTCTGCTTCCTCTCAATTGTGCCTGAAATGTAACATTGGCCTCTTTGGGTACAAGTACTGAGACACAGCTAGTACTCAGAGAGAGCTCATACCAATGTACCAGAGTTCCTGCTTGAGCTGTGTTCATTTTAACAAAACCCTAAACATGCTGTGGTTTTATATTTACTATTTTTTCTTTATGATCAATGTAGAGCAGGAGTTTTCAGTGGTAATCAAAAAGCTTTAAAGGAAGAGTATTGTAATTGCTGTAGTGCCTTCACCAGAAACTGAACAGTACAGTGTTTATTTTAATTTTATTTTAATGAAGAACTTGATAAAGAAGATAGTTTTGTGCATAGGTGAGTTCCTTACTCTGGAAGTTGCTGTATTGTTATTAATTCTGACTGCATTAAGCATTAACAACAAATGGGATAAGAAGTGTCCTCCAAATCGTATTTATTTCTGTGTCTGAGCAGATGCTCTGGCTTAAAGGCTTGGCTTGCTAATGCCATCTCTGTGTTAAGAAATTGCAGAGAATTAAAGATGGAATCTGTGCTGCTACCTGAGTTTGTTTTCTTCCTCTAGTGGCTGTGGTGTTAAATCCTGCAGGACACACAAACTCTTGTGGCAGGTGCTGTGAAGGAGGCTCTGTGTGTGTAGGATGCACTTCCAGATTCTGAGGAAACCCATACGTACAGAGCACAGAAGAAAACATTTATTAACAAAAGTAGATTTTATCGTGATTACTGTGAAATGGACTATCATCTTTTTGTAACTTAGCTGTGTTGATGGAGACCCTGAATTGCCTAGGCAGATTCAGAATTAACAATTTAATGACTAAGTAATTACTGGTAATAGTGCAGACAAGGACTGTTCCCTGTGAAATGTGTGCTGAAACCCACTTAGTTTCAAAACAATCACATTCCAGTGCTGCAGTTTCTGACAGTTGGCTGAGAGACAAAGGTTAACTTGCTAAATGCTAACTAGTCTTTTTTGGGTTTTTTTGTGTTTTCCTCATATGCAAGTAAATGAGCTTGTGTCAGGGCCAGGGGAAACATGGAGCTAGACACTTCCACCTCTGCTGTTCATGCTAATGTGTTACAGCAACTACTGCAGGAAATTTGTCTTTACAGAGATGTTCAGGCTGGATGATAATTTCAGTTCACTCTTCCTTCCAAATCTGTTTTTTCAGACCAAATTCTTGATAAATCCATCAACTAGAAAGTTAGCAAAAGAGTAAGCTCTCTTAATTCTGCAAGCTCAAGAGTTATCTAGAGAGATTTTTAAATGGTGGAAAATGTCAGGTTTCATCTCCTTCTACAGTTAAATGATGGAAGTAGTCCCTAAAATACAAGTAAGATTTTATTTTTATTTATTTATGCTCTAATTTCCTGGTTTACAACTGTTTCCATCATGCTGAACCATTCCTCTCTATTTTAATTGTTTAAAGCATTTTATTTTTTAGAATTTACATATTCTTAGTTATCTTAGTACAATTTTTCCTAAAAAGCGTTTTATTTTTTAGAATTTATATATTCTTAGTTATCTTCATTCAATTTTTCCTAATTAAAATTTACATAAATAATTTCTCTTTATTTCAGTTATTTCTCATTATCTTACAGCTTTTGCTTATTAAGATCTCGGCCTGTTTTTCCAAATACAGATAGACTAAAATTGTTTTGAGGAAGTGACTGGCACATGCAGCACTTTGGGTTTTTTTCAGATGAATATACAAACAACTGCATTTTTAAAAAAACATACTTTGTTGTGAAGTCTGATTAATTTGCAGCATGTGATTGTCTTTCTCCTCAATCTCTTAAGACACTACAACTTTCTGTATTCATTTTTTTTTCTAGTCTGTATCAGCTAATTACAGAACTGGTGGTAAGTATTTTTGGCAAATTCTGCCAATTACACAAAGATATTCTGTAAAAAAGCTTATTTTGAATGTTTTCAGGAGGCTATTATGAAACTTCGTGGCTCGATAATAACAGAAGATTCAGTTTTGGTAAATGAAAATTTAATGTAGCTATGCAAAAATAACATCTTGCAATAGAACAGAATTGACTTTCAGCTGGAAGGAACCTACAGTGATCATCTAGTTCAATTGCCTGACTTACTCACAGCTGACCAAGTTACAGCTTGTTATTAAAAGCATTGTACAAATGCCTCTTCAAACACCCCTCTAGGAAGCCTCTCCCAGTTTGACCACCCTCTCCACAAAGAAATGCTTCCTAATGCCCAGTCTAAACTTCTGCTGGCACAGCTTTGAACCATTCCCGTGTGTCCTGTCACTGTATCCAGAGAGAAAAGAACAGCACTCTGATAGTACCAAGAGAGATTATAACAGCATTGTAAGAGGGAATAAGTAAGGAATGACCTTCAGCTACATCTTACTGCTAGAATTAGGGATACCTGATTACATTGTCAGGGAATTGACAAGCAAAAGAGAAGCAGTTTTTCTAAAAATGCAGAGTTGAATGGTGAGAACTTAGAATCTGAAGCTCCTCCTGGTTGGGTGTGTTTTGGTTATCAAAAGCATGAATAGGTTTTAAAAAATACTGTGCAAGTTCATAGAAAAAAAAAGTACACTAAGGTTTAAAAATAGAAAGCCCCTCTTTGCCATGCCAAGTCCCAAATTGTTGCTTCCTGGAAGTTAGCAGGCTTTGTCAAGGAAAGAAATACTTTCTGAAGGTCTTGCCTCATATGTGCCTTTTGCAAAACATCTGCTCCAGGCTCCTGTTGAAGACAGACCCCATCTGTCCATTTTTATTTTTAACATACTTAAATATAGGCCTAAAATGTTAAGCAATGAAGCAGTAGCATGTGAAATTATGGTCATGCACATAGCCTGGTTGAAATACACTACAGATTATTACATTGCACAATTTATTTACAATATATTCTTATCAGTACACTTCTTGCTTTTTCTAGTGTTATGGAATACAACAGTGTTTAGACAGGGAAAGGCATTCTTACTGTTATTTCTGCATATTTCCAAAAGCAGGAAT